CTCATCTAATAAGGCTTGTGTCAGGTGAGAGATGCTGAGAAGAATTCCAGGGGAGAAGTTGACGTCTCAGCACCCTTCTTTGGAGTGGGGGGTGCTGTTTGCCAAGAAAACAGGTTATTTTTGCAAAAACTGATCTTTCCTGGAAGAGCTCAAAGAGAAGAAAACAAACCTTGTCTTGGTTTTGGGCTCCAATTCCTCCTTCCATTTAAAAAAAGTCTCTCTTTTGCAGTTGTAACCTTTTGAAGAGATTAGATTGGACCTCTAAGATAGAGTTCAGTGCTTTAGTGCAATATAATTGGGGAAATACTAAACGCCACTGACCTCATTTCCTTTAGAACAATGAGAATTAATAGTTGCACGTTTTATTAGGCTGATATTCCAGATGTAGTGTACATTTAATTAAGTGTAGTTTCCTTTTGGTTATGGTATGTGGCTCTGCTTTTTGTCGCAAATTCTTTCTAGTTTTACAGTTTTCCACATGTTTTCTTTCACCATTTATGATTTTTTCAAAGCGGGGCTATAAGGATTTAAATCACTTTAGCATGCAGCAAAACAGTTCCCATTCAAACAATAAACGCCATTTTAAAAAGCCTTTAGATCTTCTGTCACTTCATAAATATAAATGTATAAAAACATTATGCAGTTGTAGTGCCCACCTGCTAATTAAATGCAGATTTCCTCAAACTTGTTTTAAAATCCGCTTATTTGTTTCAACTCTGTCTCTGCTCAGAATACATATGGCCCTTGTGAAACTAATTATGCTTATGGAGCAGCTGTTAAATTTAGTGCAACTAATTTTATCCAATATTTTACATTTTAATTGATTACCTGTGAAGAAATTAGCAAATTAACACTTATTGTGCAGTAACTGAATGGGCTTTTATGGGGACTTTCAATTTTTACAAGCGGCCCGAGTGCTGATGGAATAAAGCCATTTCTTAGGGCTGGAGATAGGGAACTTATTGGTGAGCCTTGATTATCTGGTGTGAGAATTTAGGGATCCCGAGTGATGCCAAGCATCTGTGTGTTCTGCAACTTAGACATGAAAAGCAGATTGGAAAGTAATGGCTTTTCACAGAATTTTGGGAACATATGGGCTTATCTGGATCTAAGAACCCTTTGAAGATCTTTGAACTTGACTAAATGACTTAACCTTTGGCATGGTGGGTGGGTGTTCTGGGTGTTGTTGGGGGGAAGGGGATCCATGCTGCAAATCTCCTCTACAGCTTCATTTTTTGGTGGGTTTTTTTCCCCCCCTTTGGTAGTTCTGTAATTTGAACATTTGGGGTCTTGCTTTAATAGGACTAATTGTGATTCTTGTTATTTTTCAACAGCAGATAAAATAGAAAATCTGTCTGCTCTGCCAGATCTGTGGCCTTTTGTTGTGGTTTGGTGTTGAGCTGGGGACACAGATGACTTTTGGGAGCTCCATTTCAGGAAGTCTTATCTTGGTTTCCTGTCCTGTAGATCTTGCAAGATACTTTAATAGGAATTAAGGAACAGTAGAGAGAGACTCTTCCCAAGGCCATGGAGTGATGGGACATGTGGGAATGGCCTGAAGCTGGTGGAGGGGAGGTTTAGATGGGATATGGGGAAGGAATTCATCCCTGTGAGGGTGGTGGGACACAGGGAGGCTGTGCCATGGCAGGGCCACCCTCCACTGTCCCAGGGAGCTCCAATCCCTGCCTTGGACAATGCCAGGGAAGGGGAAATTTGATGCAATAACTCTTTCAATTTTTAAAAGCTGTTTCCTGTGTATAAATGTCACCTGCCACCAGTTCTGCACAGACATGGGAACGAGCAGGAATCCAGGAATTGAGCATCCAGCCTGCCTGGGCTGAATTTGTTACTTGCACCTGCAAAAGGTAGAGCTGAACTCCGGTTCAGATTTGAGCTGAGAAACTGGAATTCTTTAGCAAGAAATATTTTAGATTCCTGTTATTCCTGGGGAAAGGACTGTGCCATTAAATGAGGAGAGGCCTTGCATCAATTAAAGATGATTTGTGTTGCTACAGGGCTTTGTTTTGTTGTTTGGGGTTGATTTTCTGTTTTGGACTTACCTGCAGTTCTGAGAAGCCAGGGTTACCTGGGAATACTGGATCTAGGGCAGTGCTCTGTAAATCTGTGCTGTCTCATCATGATGTTTGTAAAAACAGTGTCTCTGTGCCAAACAAAAATTAGATTTAATATCAAGAATGTTCTTTCAAGTCAAAACCTCCTCTGCCTGAGGAGTAAGGATGGATGGACGCTTTTACATTCATGATGACACACTAAAAATCCATTTTGAGCCAGCAAATGCTCTCCAGTGAAGAATCCAGCACTGCAGTGGTAATTTGATCTATTTATTAGTGTTAATAGAGTGGCCAGGATGGGAGAGCTGCTGTTGGAAGGTACCAGCTGCTGAAACAGGAACCCAGCCCTGACCCCTGGAGCTGCTCCTGGCAGGAACAGGGACCTGAACTCCCATGTGCTGGACAAATTCCAGAAATGTAATTTATAGCCTCATCTGGATGGAGGGTTTTCTTTTGATTAGTCTATTGTTGAGTTTTATTAAGCAGTTGTTGTTTCATAAAAGGAGGGGTTTTGTCTGTGTGATTTGGCTTTTAAAGGCTTTGGGAGTTTTGCACTCCGAGAGGTGCTAAAGGAACTTTTTATACTGTTTTAAAAATTTCCCTATTTCCATCAGTTCCATCAGTTGATGGAACTTTTCCATGAAGTGCCATCAGAACTTTCATGGGAATCATGGAATTGTAGAATCATGGGATGGTTTGGGTTGGGAAGGACCTTAAAGCCCATCTCATTCCATGCCTGCCCTGGGAGGGACCCATTCCAAAGGCCAGGGTGCTCAGGTGAGAGGAACCAAGGAAAACTTGACCTGATTTTTCCCAAATATCCCTTGTCCACTCAGGTAGCATTGATCCATGCCAAATTATTAAATAAAACCTGGAAAATCTTCTACAAGAAATTCAGGAATAATGAAATAATTTTGGACGCACAAAGAACCAGCCCTAATACTTCTGGATCTTTTTTTCCATTTTGTTAATGGATGAATCCATTGTGTGTTTTAAGTTATTTTGCATCTCTTTTCAGAGCAGGAGCAACATTTTCTTTTTCACTTCTTTTGCTAAATTGTCAGTTTAAAGGTATTAAATTGTGACATGGGCTACATTATTAGATGTATTTATTAAATACATTAATAATTGAAATTAAATAATTGAAATTAAATAATAAAATATAACAAGGCTGAGGTGAGGTGCTGATGAGAAATGGCTGAGTTGTTCTGATGATGAAATTTTGTAACTGTGAAGTAGGGCAGTAAGATCTCTGAGATTCTCACTCTAGACCTTCAAGGCATTTAAAGTGTTTGTGCTCAGGGCTGAGGAGCCAAAAGCTTCCAAAACCTGGAACTGAAAGCCTTGGTAGCAGACTGAGCCTGCTGATGTCAGATGTCTGACTTCACTCACTGTGGTTTTTGGAGAAGAATGTTACCTAGATGTCTCTGTGGAGGAAGGCAGAGGAATTGGTGGTATTTTGTTAGGCTAATTTTGTATTTTACACTTTGGGGATCCTTTTTGTCTGCCTAGAAGCAGCCTCTTCTTTAGTGAAGGAGAACCTTCCTTCACTATTTGGCTGCTTCCCACAGGAGTTTTGGTGACTCCTCTTCTGCTTGTTTAGATAATCCAATAGATCCTGTTAAAAGATTTAACCTGTTTTAATCAGAATCTCTTGTTTTGGGGTCCTTTTTTCCTGTCAGTCTACCTGATGCCTTCAGTTTTAGCTTTATATTTTCCAGATTCTGCACTGAATTCTAACTCTGAATTACACACAGGGCCAGCAGCTCTGCTCACAGCCCAGGCACACAGAACAATCCCTGTCCAGCCCCAGAGCCAAGGACAGCGCTGCAGCTTCAGCCCAAACACTGCAAACAGCAGGGAATGGAGGGGAGAAACTGGGAGGGTGGGACTGCACAACCTGGGGCTGGAATTGGACAATGAACCCAGCATGGAAAGGGACCAAAACTCATAAAAGTGTGAGAGCTTGGGGTCCATTTTGGGTCTGTTTTGGGTGTAGCCTTGGTCAGGCTCTTGTGCTGCCCAAGGTGTATCCTTTGAAGGCATTTTAATAAATTCCTGTTTGATTTCTTTAACTCTGCCCAGCCTCTGTTCCAGGCAGCCTCTTTAGGTACCAGTCACCATCCCCGGTTGTGTTTAAAAGCACACTGGATGTGGCACTAAGAGCTAGGTTTAGGGCTACGTTGGACTCAATGGTCTTGGAGTGTTGGATTCCTGGACACTGAGAATTTCAGACTTTCTGTGCTACCAGGCACTGACCCCTGAGAGAACACTGCATTGACCTGAGGCCATGGAGAAGCTTCCAAAATGGAATGATAGAACTGGGATTGTGAGTGTGGGGTTTGAATAGAAATGTGTGATATCACAGGGTGGGAAAGTCAGAGTATGGGGTTTTAGAATACAGTAATAGATATAAAGCAGGATGGAGGTTTTAGGGTGGAGACTTGTCCTCCTTCTTCTTTAGGGGTTTGGGTGGTATTTTGTAGATGGACAGAAAAGTCAGCATTGCAGACTTTGAGTGATCAGTTATTGGGTTAAAAGTAAATAATTTAGGTGTCATTTCTTAATTGGATAGTTCAGCCTTGAAATACCTTGTATAGTAAGATAGTTAGCCCTTTTTGTAGCATGTTAGTAAGAGAGCCCCCAGTGGCTCCCTGTATTGTCCAATTCTAGTAGGAGTACAGCATGTCCTTGTTCTGCCAAGATCCTTCTCCACCTGGTGTCTGTGTGTCCCTGCAGGTCACAGCAGCGCTCCTGCAGCTACAGCAGCGAGGGGTCCAGCCACAGGAGAACCCCCAGCAGGTCCCTGTGTTCCTTCAAAGTAACTCTGCAATCTGCAGGCCAGGGCTGTCCAATTCTTGTAGGAGTACAGCATGGCCTTGTTCTGCCAAGAACCCTTCCCCACCTGGTGTCTGTGTGTCCCTGCAGGTCACGGCAGCGCTCCTACAGCCGCAGCAGCGAGAGGTGCAGCCACAGGGCTGGGTCCCTGTGTTCCTTCAAATTCACTCTGTCACCTGCAGGCCAGGGCTGTCCAATTCCTGTAAGAGTAGGGCATGTCCTTGTTCTGCCAAGAACCCTTCTCCACCTGGTGTCTGTGTGTCCCTGCAGGTCACGGCAGCGCTCCTACAGCCGCAGCAGCGAGAGGTGCAGCCACAGGGCTGGGTCCCTGTGTTCCTTCAAATTCACTCTGTCACCTGCAGGCCAGGGCTGTCCAGTTCTAGCAGGAGTACAGCATGGCCTTGTTCTGCCAAGATCCTTCCCCACCTGGTGTCTGTGTGTCCCTGCAGGTCACGGCAGCGCTCCTACAGCTGCAGCAGCGAGAGGTCCGGCCACAGGAGAACCCCCAGCGGGTCCCGGGAGCGCCGCAAGGGCAGGGACAAGGACAAGGACAAAGCCAAGGACAAGGGCAAAGGGAAGGAGAAGGAGATCCACAGTACCAAGGCTGGGTGAGTGAAACAGCAAATGATGGAGCTGGGGCAAAACCAGGCAGCAACGCTGTGTCCTTTTACTCTTGTGATAATCTTCCTTTACTTTAAATTGCACTTTATATCAACTAAGTTTATGTAAACTCAGAATATTTGAAAGGTGGGAAATCGTTCAGACTCTTTGGAGGGTGGGGTTTGTAGGGTTCTACAGTTCTGCAATGTGGTAACATTTCACACTAAGTGTGGTTTAATTTTCCACCCTTTCCCTCCCCGCTTGGTTTCAGGTGGGTTAAAAAGCTTTCTGCAATTTGTTAATATAAGCATTCTTCCCATATGTAATAGCCATGATTTAGGGGAAAAATGAGGAATATTGGATAGCATGAGGGCTTCTTCCTAGGAGAAGATGGGTTTCACTGTTCATACACCCCTACACCTCCTCCCAGTGGCAGGAGTTCCTCCTGGGCTTTGGCTGAGGCTCAGAAATGCAGTTCCAGCACAAACCTTGCTCTGGGTGAACGATGGGAACCCTTGATAACCTGCTTTCAGTCCAGTTTCTGCTTGGAATGACTTGGGTTGTTGATGACAGATTGCAGGAAAGGCAATGTAATTTTTTGCATTTTATGTAATTTATGTAATTCCCTCTGCTTTAAACATCATGCTCTTGTGCAGCCTTTCCTGGGCTGCTTGTCTTTTCCCTCTTTGTCTGATCCCTTCCAAAAAAAAACCAAAACACTGAAGTGTCACTTCATGACCTTCCCTTGGGTTTATTCCCACTGAAAATGCTCTTGGGGAGTTTCTGGAGCAGCATCTTCCACCCACATTTGGGCTTCTCTTGGCTTCTGGAATTCTCCCTTTGTTCCCCGTGGCAGCAGGAAAATTCCTGGTTAAGTTGGATCTGGTTTGGAATCTCCAAGCAGATTTAATTTCTACACCCAGAGTCTGGAAAGTCTCATTATTCTACAGAGCCCTTCCAGAACCTCCAGCATCAGGGGATCTGTAGTGGAAACAATCCTGTGGCCTCAGTATTTGAGCAGATCCTTCCTCAAAGGCACCTCAAGGACCAGGTCTGGTTCCCAGTTTAAATTCATGGCTGTTTGCAATGTATTTATTCAAAATAGCTGCTTTGGAGCTGTAATGAAGATCAGCCTGAAGCCAGATTGTGGGAAGAAGGGACATAAATTCTCAGGTGCTGCTTGACTTTATAGTTTAACTTTGCATAAAAGGAGGTATTTCAGCTTGGCAGCACTGCAGCTTATCTGAGCGATGCTGTATATTTGGGGCTTTACTGCTCCTCTAAAGCACAGAATCAAAATGCTTTTTTTTCACTAATTAAGCAGCAAATTTGTCTGTGGCTCCTGTGAACCCTAATGATGATTTTCTGTCCTTGGCTTGGCTGTGTTTGTACATGTGAGGGGGAAAGGTCTGTGCTTGGGGTTTTTTTGGGGGCAGCCTTAGATTCTTTCAAGGGAGATCTTGTCACAGTAAACATCTCAAGAGAAATTTCAAAAGTAAAAAACTAAAATTCTTTTTAAAAATAGTATTCTGGGTGTTTTCCTTTGGCATTCCCCGTTTCAGTGATGCTTCCCTAATGTTGAGCACTGATTTTCTGGAGTGCTGGAGAAGTACCAGATGTTCATGAGATGGGCTGTGAAACAGCTCAGCTCTTCTCACACCCTGAAGTGTTTTAAGGGATGTTCCACTTGTCCAGCCATTATGGAGGGAAATCCTGGAGCAGCTGCTGGGAATGTGGGCTGGGAGCTCCAGGGAGTTCCCTCCAGCCCCAAATGCCATGTTTAGACCAGCAACATCTACATGCAGGAAGCCTTCAGCTGTCCAAGTCTGCAGAAGTGAGGGGTTTTACAGCACTACAATGTTTTCCCACTATTTTTTGTACTAATCAAAGCATTACATTCATCTTTTATTTATGCTTTTTGAAATTCTCTTGTTTTAAAACAACCTGCATGCATGTCTTCGTTGACCTGGTGGGGTGTGCTGTTGAATTTTGATGTTTCCAGTCTTGATCAGCTTCAAAACATGCAAATTCTGTTGTTCTGAGATGTGCTTTTCATAAGGCTCCTTGCTCATTGTTAAATTGGGGGGGAAAGCTACTAAAAGCTTGTTAGTTTTAAATAATTTTTTCCTAGATTTATGGGTCTCATTGTTGCTTGTGTACTAGTGCAATTTGGGATTACTTCTCCAAGTGATTTTGACAATTTTTAATGGAATAAATTAAGAGCAGCTCCTCAGTTGCTAAGAGAAAAGAAGTGGTGAACCATTAATCAAACCTGACCACTGGTTGAATTGCTGATCCTTAATAAGGTTATTGATACATTTGGGCACTAATGGTTTCACAGCTTCCTAAATACCTTGACAGATCCCGGAATCCTGGAATGGTTTGGGCTGGACAGACCTTAAATCCCATCTCATTCCAGCTCCTGCCATGGGCAGGGACACCTTCCATGGACCAGACTGCTCCAGGTGGCCTTGGGCACTTCCAGGAGTCCAGGGGCAGCCACAGCTCCTCTGGGCACCTGTGCCAGCCCCTTCCCTCTCTCCCAGGGAACAATTCTTCCCAAAATCCCATCCATCCCTTCCCCTGGCAGTGGGAGCCGCTCCCTGTGTCCTGTCAGTATTGCAGAGCTGAGGAGCTCCTTGTTCAGACACAATCTCCATTTTTCCTTTCAGTTCCACACTTCAGGGCTTTGAGGTTTCACTGAGGCCCCCCAGTCTGGGGACCTTTTTCCAGTGGCATTTCCTGCAATCCCTTGGAGTGGATCCATGCCCAGTGCCCCATGGATGGCCTGTGGGTCATTGATGGCTGTTGATGACATTTTTGCTGTTTGGAGAAAACGTCAGGAGTAAATTATGGCAATATTGGACTTTCCCAAGTCAGACTCTCCTGGAGCTTGGCACAGGATTATTTTTCCCTTCCTTCTTCCCAGCCAGTGCAGTAGGAAATCATTTATGGTAATTGGCCCTGATTTGCATATAGGTGATGGAGTTGTGTGGGGCAGAGCACCCCAGAAGTGCTGGGAAGCTGTGCTGGGATCAAAGGGGCTGTGCAGGAGCTGTTGTCTGACACCAGGCTGGGGGTGTTGTTTGCATTAAACATTCATCACCCTCCCAGCCTGCCAGCAGGAATTCTGGGCTGGGCTGACATGTTTTCATGCAAAATTTATTGGGCAAGACGAGGGCTGTAAAGAGAGATCTCGTTGCCTTTCACCAGCAGCAGAGGGGGAATGTTTGATTGGGAGGGAGGATTCCTCTGGCACGTTTGGGGCCTGTGTTATACCAGGAGCTGAAGGGTTGGGAAGGCTGATTCTGTCTCTCCAAGACCTTTTCCTCAAAATCTGACCTGCCAAAATCCATTTCTCAAGGAGTAGAAAGGTGCAAACACAAATTGATGTTCAGGGTGCTACAACGCTTGTTTAATTTGCACTGCTCTGGTCTCACATTCAGGAGTTCTTGTTGGTTGTTTCAATTCTCTTTGGAGTTTATTTCAAAGAGGCTTATGAAGAAAATATAAGGTACATTGTGTTTAGTTTGTAGCTCAGGAGTCCAGAAGGAAAATGCATTCGTTTTGGAAGTTTTGATCCCAAATAGAATAAATAAGGATTGCTGCTGGGCTGGAACCTTGCATGCCATGGTTCAACCTTGATCAAATTCTTGTTGTTGAGTTGTAAACATCCTAAAGGAGGTGCTTCCAGGAAAATGGAAATGGGCAGCAGAAATGGGCTGGTGGGAATTGTAGAATGTGGCCAAAAATCCCTCTTAAACATGTGCAATCCTAGAAAAACTGGAGAACTTCTTTAAAATCTGTTTAGAATTAGCAACTGCATTTTGAATGCTGAAACCAAACTACTCCATCCTGTGGTGGAAAGTGGTTTGAATGCTTATGGGAGAAATAGCTTCTGTCAGAGGGGAAAACCCTTAATCCAGGCAGGTTTATTTTCAGTGTCAGCTAAATTACGAGGACTTTGAGAAGTGCTTGCAGTAAAGTTTTAAGATGCTTGGTAGGACTCTTTGGCTCCAGTGATTTCTTTTGGTAGCTTCTTGAAGAACAGCTTCTAAAATTGAATGACAGCTTGAGCCCCTTTGTCCAGCCTGGGATGCTCCAATGACTGCCAGGCACTTGCTTGGACTCAAAGTAGATTTTCCAGGATCTTTAGGATGGCAAGGGAGTCACTTATCCACAGTAAAACCAAAATGCCTCTTCTGTTGATTAATTAATCTATTTATTCTTACTCCTTTTGCCTTCCTCTCTACCTCCAGCCTGCTGGCAGAACCCAAGCATGAGGTGAGTGGAGCAGGTGATGAAGGGTCTCTGGGTGCCCCCAGTGCAGAGAGATGGAATCCCCTGTCCTGTCAGGATCTGTGTTTGCTGATGGCAAAGGGGCTGAGCAGCTTGGGCTGGGTCCCTGCAGTGCTCAGGGGGCACCCAGGGAACCCCTGGGCGCGTTTGGGGCGACGGGTGAGGATCTGAGCTCTGCTGGCAGAGCTGCTGGGAGGCCAGACCAGGACAGTTTCCTCCCAGTAAGTCAGCCAAAGGCTAATGGGAAGCAGAGGAAGGGTTTTTTCTGAAAAGGACTGAGACCTCCATATGCCCAGAGCAGCTCGAGGGTCACTTGCCTTTGACCGAGATTTGTTGCTATTGTTGTCTAAGCTGTGTTGGCCTTGTTTTTCTTTTTGTTTGCTAAAAATCCCCTTTTAGGACTCAAAAGACTGGCCATTTATTTAATGGGCAGCAGCATATGGGATGATTTCTTTTCCTTTCACTCCCAGACAGCTGGAAAAGCCAGCGTGGATGGGACACGTGTGTAAGCTGTGGAGCAAAACTGTGCAGGAGGTGCTGGGGAACCACTGGCTCTGGAAAATAAATAGATTTTAGTTCAGAGTAAACATTTCATTTTCATTCATTAAGCACTTTTTGTGCTAACTACAGAAATCTAAGTTTTGTGTTGAAATTCTGTAGTTCAGACTGTCAGTTAGTGATGGCTGTCAAATAAGCTTCCCTGCTAAAT